TTCCCTTACGATACGCTTTTTTGCCTCATTTCTATGCTTTGGTGAAATGCAAATGAAAATAAGTGAAAAACAGTGCAAACGCAAACATTTTTTGTCGCATTCGAATCGATTCATCACTACATCGACTCAGTGATAATGATGACGGTCTCTGAAAAAAGCAAAGCACTTTATCGTTACAGACCACAAGGAAATCTATTACAATTGAAGATTCGATTGAAATAACTCAAAGGCAAGAAACGCTGATCACTTCTGCAATCAATGCGCAATAAAATACCTTGTTAGTATTTCAGTGAATAATGTGGTTTATAGAAATTCAATCAGTTTGAAATGGTAATGAGCAAAAAATTTTCATCTGTTACGAACATTATTCGACGAAGTTGATGGGGTTGGTACATGGGCACGTTGCTTTTCGTACTCAAATCTGGGTGATAACCGATGAAGATCAGCCATAACAGCAACGTTACCTCGACTCACACTGTACACCTGAAATGAACCATCCATCTAATTGTGTGCAGAAATTGAACGAAAAATTTTACTTATACTAGAGATTAATGGCTTGATGAGGGGATTTAGTAAAATAATGCAAAAGTAGTGACTGATTTGAAACAAAATCTATGTAAAATTGATCTTATGATGGTGATTGAATATCGTGAAAACGCAAACAGAAGGTGAAAGTGATTGATAAAATCAGGCATGGTGATAAAGAGCAGAGAAGTTAACGAATGTACTTGTTTTCTGGGTTTGCGCTGTTTATAGACACGAATTCGCATGCGAATGATGATAACAACGAGTGTAAGTAAAAGGACGAATAGAAGAACGAGTGAGGCGATCGTGAGTATTTTCGCATTCATCAACGACTCTTTTGCATTTGGACCGTTCGATGAAGTGAAGTCACCAATCTGAAACATTTCTCGTTGTGATTGCTCAGCTCTTGGAAGGAAAATTCTGACGATTTGTATGCTCAATGAAGATGGAGTTTTTGATAATATGTAAAAATCATGTGCTCACCTCAATGAAAACCTTCACTCGAGAATATTGCCTCGTTCCTGAACTTGCGATCACAACAAACTCATCGAAGCTTACGTTTTTCTTCATTCTAAAAATTAGTTGAAGTCAACCTTGGGACGACCCTCCGTTTACAATTTCTAGTGCATAGTTGGTTGGTTTCATAGTTTCTTTTTTACATAGTTGGTTTCTTAAGAGAATTGGTAATTTCCAACAATCTGAAAACTCCAGCTAAAGAATATCGAAATGAATCTACAACTCTGACTTTTCACTGAGTTCCCTGGTGAGAACAATCTGTCCTGAATCAGGATCAATGCCAAGGTAACGGAGCGCATCGCCTTCCATTTCGTACCGAACCACACCATCAATACCGGAGTCTTGATCAGTCGCTGTCACTGCTCCAACCCTCTGACCTATTTCAGCTGTTCTCGGTATCTGCAACACGGAAATATTGTAATTCAAACAGCTTAAGGCATAAAAATCAGTAGAACAGAAGTTGAAACCTTATTTTGAGTGATTCCGATTTGGGTGAGCACGCAACAGAATTAAGCTCACTTGAAGGACTGCTCATGTAGCAATTGGTTATTTGTTGCGATTAATAATAATTTTAAGAGATTGTGAAATGAAACAAGATGAATGTAATAAACACCTGGAATGTGTATTTGTTTCTCATGAACATCGGTGGATATTCATCGATACCCAACACGATTACATTAATCGGTACGATTGCTGAGCGACGACTTTGATCTTTGACGATCAGTGAAAACTGATAGCCGTTGCGTGTTTCAAAGTCCAACTCCTTCACCAATATAATATCTCCAGTGGTGCGATTGCATGCGAACGCCTTCAAAATTATTTGCTTTGATTATCGTATCGTATTATGAACAATGTTTGCATGGGATCCGGATCTCCACTTTTGAATCGCGACATCGGGATTTTCTTTCTGGTTAAAACACAGTATTTTATGCAATTGAGCGGTATGCTCATTTTGATTGGTGTGAAAATGGTATATTCATGACATCAAAATGCATTACATTTCGAATTGTAGCTCTGAATATTGCATACCTCATCGTTGTCCTTAAGAGTATATTCCCATCCTGGTTCGATTATACCACTGCGACTTACGGCTCTCGACTTCAACACAACACTACCAACTTGAGTGTTCTCGAATACACTCGCTTGATAAGACGGCAATGCAAAGAACGGTGCACTGCCTGACCATAGCTGTCGTTCTATTGATACCGAAATTGTGGTATGATTCCAACGTGAAGGATTGCCATGATCTTGCGCAGCCACAACGAGTTTTTGAATAGGTTCAGATAAGAGGAGTGTTTGTTCGTTCCACTGCTCAAACACAATCGTACCAGACGCGGAGTCCAGTCGAAACATACCGTGTTCATTTCCGGATAGAATACTGTACGTAATACGACCGTTTTTACCAGCATCACGATCGCTAGCTGACATCCTGAAAATTTGAACGGCTACAATAAACGAGATTGAGGAAATCATTTCTCACTTTCACCAAAATCCTCTCGAATGACCGCTCAAGAAAATTGTCGAAATATGTCAAGCATTGAATCTTTAATATAGTAAGCTTACCTGACGAGTAATTCGCCATGTTTCATATGTTCGTTAACGATTATTTTATCAGTGCTTGCGAAGAATTGCGGTACGTTATCGTTTGTATCGAGCAACTGAATGTGAACAATGGTTGTTGCGTTTACGAATGAGCTTCTTGAAGATGCTTCAACCTGAAATGGGTTCTTATAAGAGGCCTAATTTAAAAAAAATATTATTCAACATGTGAGGAGTTATTTGAGTTCAACGATGAACTGTTAGGATTTGCGTTGGGTGCCATCAACAAACGCCTTGATGAATGCGTGTCACGTGTTACATGTCATCGGGTGTCGTATCTTGATGAGATTCCTTAACGACCCTCTGAATCCGATTTCACTGACCGTAAATTTCAGCGTTTGATTCTTTTCGCGATCTATCTGTTGTTGCAAGAACACATCCCCATTATGATCGATTCGAACCAATCGCGCACATTCCGGTTCGATGATTCGATAGTCGAATTTTGCATCCGGCATTATGGATGCACGAATATTTCCAATACGCACATTTGCTGATGTATTTTCAGGAATCGAAAAACTGAAATGAGCACAACATTGACTGCAACATTGAACTGATCACTTTGTATTGATCGAATTTGAAATCAAACACTAGACTAGTTATCGCTCGAATATACAATTTATTAAAATGATTTTCTCTCTAAAGGAAGGTAATGAAAATTTCGGTCCAATTGACTGGTTCTTTTGTCATCTACCGCACGATTACGATTACTGAACGATCGTTTTTCTATCGGCACATCCTTCTTAATAGTGCCGTGGGTTTGAGTACGGAAACTGAGGCTATGCACCGGGGAAATACGAAGCAATTAACGAGTTCAGCGTTAATGAACCTGTAAGATTTCTTGTTGAATTTTGCTTGAACCCTATTCGCTGAGTCGTTCACCGAAATTCGTAAAGTCACTGCGGCACTCATCTGCGGTAAGCCATAATCGAACGCCTGCACTTTCACGTAATGCACACTTCCGAAAGCCAATCGCGATTTAAGTTTTAACACACCTTCAACATATGTATTTCATCAGTAATGCAATACTCTTCAATGAAACCAATATGAACACAATCCNCTAAAGGAAAGTTGTTCAGCTACAGTAACGTTTAAAAACATCTAATCGATTCAGTTACTAACATGGTGTTTTTTTTCTTTACCATTCCGTCTTGAACGAATTCAAGAAGTCACTCAAATTACAGCAAACAATTCGTCACGGCGATAAAACGTTACCTCATCAGAACATCAAAAACAACCAAGAAAAAGTATTTAGTATTAATAAAACGAACCAGATTGACTGTCCATTTGGAAGCGATCGCTAGTTGTTGATATATTGTAGTAAACCTGACCGGCCAAGCCCGAGTCCACGTCTCTTGCTGTCATTTTGGTAATTGCGCTTCCGATAGCCAAATTTTGCGGTACGGTAACATCATAGAAATCCTTATCGAACTTAGGCGCATTATCATTCTCATCAAGCACCACTACAACCAGTGTCGATTTGGAAATATTCTCACCATCGGTTACCTAAACGAACGCAATTTCACATGAAAATTACGACTGATAATGCTAACGCAATCAAGAGATTCAATCAAATCGATGATGGACGTTTCGAATAACCTGAATCGGTAATCGATGCTCTTGCGTTGTTTCATAATCGAGCGGTGACGCTAAATGAATCGTCCCAGTGAGACGATTAATCATGAACAACGGATTTGGCGGATTGATTGAATATTCGAGTTGAGTGTCCACATCCACGTCAGTGGCTCTTACTGTTGCTATTAAGGTACCAACTTGTGCTGCTGAAATTTTTCGCAATTTTTGCCATTCGTAAAGCTAGAAGCATACACTTTCAGATAACGCTATCTTATGCTTTCTCAANCTGAAAGATACCTTCGGAAATCTTGCGAGGACGCATCGGAGCAAGAGCAGGCACATTGTCGTTTATGTTCAAGACTGAAAAAAAAAAGAATAATAACGATGCTGAAGAGCTTTATCATCAGAGTTGTAAGTTTCAGAAAGGCATGCGCTATTCTCGAGGACCAGTCAGGATGCAGTTTGGAAGTGCCGATCTTGAAGTGCATGCAAGAAAAATGAGGCAATCCGAGAACAAAACGAAATCTTTTGGCTGATCAAAAGAGACCACTCATGGTACCTACCTCTTATGTGGACTGTAGTTTGCGGGATAGTACGATAGTGATGAGCATTACCGACAACCTTCAGTTCATATTCGTTCTCGATCTCTCGATCAAGCTCTTGTGTTGTTCTTATGTAACCATCGCTGTTTATGTCAAATGCTGAATCAACATTACCACTGATGATACTGTACGTCAAAGGTGCATCATTGAAGAGTCGCTCTGAACTGCTGATCTGAAATGCTCAAATTAACTAACT